GAGAGAGAGAGAGAGAGAGAGAGAGAGAGAGAGAGAGAGAGAGAGAGAGAGAGAGAGAGAGAGAGAGAGAGTGGCCACCAGAGGAAACCACAGTGGTAACCGCAATGGTGAGAGCAGCAGAGGAGATTGTCAAAATCATGTCATATTCGTTGTGCATTTTACGTCTTAACCACATTAATATGCTTTCACTGAACAATTGGGCCCGCCACGGTGATGCAGCGGCCCAGTGCCAACCCTGCCCTTGGCATGTTATGTACTGTGTGTGGTCTGCGGTATCATATGGCCTGCACGATGTTACGAGGGCTTGATGGTACCATCGAACCCAGCAGCACCACGTGGGGCAGGTCATACTGTGTGCAATGGACGGTGCTAACATATGTGCTCCCACACAAAGAAAACAATAGAACAGAGACAGGACTGCCCCCAAAAAAGGAAAAATACATCGCCAACATCAGGCACAATTGGGTGCTCGCCACTGCCAGCCAGTGTATCTTTCCACATTCTAGCTGAAGATTCATTCTCATTTTCTTCATTTAGTCAGTAGTCAAGCGAGGCCTATACCTATGTACTTGTATTTGGACACTCCTTCCATGCTCTAGCTGAAGATTCACTCTCGTTTTCGTTGTTTGAGCGAGGTCCGTGGAAGAACAGAGACAGGGCTGCCCCAAAAGAAGGGAAACTACATGAGCAACATCAGGCACAATTCGGTGCTCGCCACTGCCATGCGGTGTATCTTTTGCTGAAGATTCATTCTCATTTTCTTCATTTGGTCAGTAGTCAAGCGAGGCCCGTAGCTATGTACTTGTATTCAAGCATTCCCATGCATTAAAGACAAAAGAATATGGAGGTGTATCTTTCCATGCTCTAGCTGAAGATTCACTCTCGTTTTCCTCATTTGGCGAATGGTCGAGCGAGGCCCGTGGTCGGGTTCGCTATGCGCTTGTATTCAAACATTTGAATGCACCCCCCCCACACAAAACCACAAAATGACAGGATCAACCGACACCCGCAGGGGAAAAACAAACAAACGAAAGAACCAGTTGCCCTCACGCGGCGCAACCGAACAACAGCTCCCATGATCGTTCTGGATACCCAAAACGACGCCAACAGCGGAAAAAAAAAAAGAAAGGAGCGTTCAGTCCCATGATGTTCCCGCCCACCCGCGGTTTCTGGCTGGCCCGGTGGGGGGGAGGGACGTCAGCTGAGGACCATTACTCGCTTTCGGAGGTATAGAGATGAGTTCATCAATCTGATCCCATTTGAGTTGCATCTTTGGCATTTTCCGCTGAATAATATTTGCCTTCCTTTTTTCCTTATGGCTGGTGTGCACGTGCTCTGCCCTGAATTACAGTCAAGTTAGAGTCAACCTATAAAGAGGGTTTCCAACTTTCCACTTTCCCAGTGTTCTCCTTGAACCACTTTCCACCCTTCTCTTTTTCAGAGTTCTTAAAAAACGTTTTTGAACTTTTTCTCTTTTCCTTCCTCTTTCTCTTTGAATCCACAGTTCAGGTTCTTCAGAGAAGAACAGCAAGATTTCAGAAACAGGCAGCAGAGAGGGGGTTGGGGGG